AATACGACAGAAGGTAGGACGTTCTTGAACTAATTGAAGCCAATACTACAGAAGGTAGGACTTTCTTGAACTGATTGAAGCCAATACTACAGAAGGTAGGACGTTCTTGAACTGATTGAAGCCAATACTACAGAAGGTAGGACGTTCTTGAACTGATTGAAGCCAATACTACAGAAGGTAGGATGACTTTCTTGAACTGATTGAAGCCAATACTACAGAAGGTAGGACGTTCTTGAACTGATTGAAGCCAATACTACAGAAGGTAGGACGTTCTTGAACTGATTGAAGCCAATACTACAGAAGGTAGGACTTTCTTGAACTGATTGAAGCCAATACTACAGAAGGTAGGACGTTCTTGAACTGATTGAAGCCAATACTACAGAAGGTAGGATGTTCTTGAACTGATTGAAGCCAATACGACAGAAGGTAGGACGTTCTTGAACTGAAGCCAATTGAAGCCAATGAAGCCAATACTACAGAAGGTAGGACTTTCTTGAACTGATTGAAGCCAATACTACAGAAGGTAGGACGTTCTTGAACTGATTGAAGCCAATACTACAGAAGGTAGGACGTTCTTGAACTGATTGAAGCCAATACTACAGAAGGTAGGATGTTCTTGAACTGATTGAAGCCAATACTACAGAAGGTAGGATGTTCTTGAACTGATTGAAGCCAATACGACAGAAGGTAGGATGTTCTTGAACTGATTGAAGCCAATACTACAGAAGGTAGGACGTTCTTGAACTGATTGAAGCCAATACTACAGAAGGTAGGACTTTCTTGAACTGATTGAAGCCAAAACTACAGAAGGTAGGACGTTCTTGAACTGATTGAAGCCAATACTACAGAAGGTAGGATGTTCTTGAACTGATTGAAGCCAATACGACAGAAGGTAGGATGTTCTTGAACTGATTGAAGCCAATACGACAGAAGGTAGGACGTTCTTGAACTGATTGAAGCCAATACTACAGAAGGTAGGATGTTCTTGAACTGATTGAAGCCAATACTACAGAAGGTAGGATGTTCTTGAACTGATTGAAGCCAATAACTGATTACAGAAGGTAGGACGTTCTTGAACTGATTGAAGCCAATACTACAGAAGGTAGGATGTTCTTGAACTGATTGAAGCCAATACTACAGAAGGTAGGATGTTCTTGAACTGATTGAAGCCAATACTACAGAAGGTAGGATGTTCTTGAACTGATTGAAGCCAATACTACAGAAGGTAGGATGTTCTTGAACTGATTGAAGCCAATACTACAGAAGGTAGGACGTTCTTGAACTGATTGAAGCCAATACTACAGAAGGTAGGACTGTTCTTTCTTGAACTGATTGAAGCCAATACTACAGAAGGTAGGACGTTCTGATTGAACTGATTGAAGCCAATACTACAGAAGGTAGTAGGACGTTCTTGAACTGATTGAAGCCAATACTACAGAAGGTAGGACGTTCTTGAACTGATTGAAGCCAATACTACAGAAGGTAGGATGTTCTGAACTGAACTGATTCTTGAAGCCAATACTACAGAAGGTAGGATGTTCTTGAACTGATTGAAGCCAATACTACAGAAGGTAGGATGTTCTTGAACTGATTGAAGCCAATACTACAGAAGGTAGGATGTTCTTGAACTGATTGAAGCCAATACTACAGAAGGTAGGATGTTGTTGAACTGATTGAAGCCAATACTACAGAAGGTAGGATGTTCTTGAACTGATTGAAGCCAATACTACAGAAGGTAGGATGTTCTTGAACTGATTGAAGCCAATACTACAGAAGGTAGGATGTTCTTGAACTGATTGAAGCCAATACTACAGAAGGTAGGATGTTCTTGAACTGATTGAAGCCAATGGTCTGGTAGGATGTTCTTGAACTGATTGAAGCCAATACTACAGAAGGTAGGATGGTGATTGAAGCCAATACTACAGTGCAGGATGTTCTTGAACCGATGGAAGCCAATGATGTTCTTGAACTGATTGAAGCCAATACTACAGAAGGTAGGATGTTCTTGAACTGATTGAAGCCAATACTGCAGGTAGGATGTTCTGATTGAACAATGATTGAAGCCAATACTACAGAAGGTAGGATGTTCTTGAACTGATTGAAGCCAATACTACAGAAGGTAGGATGTTCTTGAACTGATTGAAGCCAATACTACAGAAGGTAGGATGTTCTTGAACTGATTGAAGCCAATACTACAGAAGGTAGGATGTTCTTGTTGAACTGATTGAAGCCAATACGACAGAAGGTAGGATGTTCTTGAACTGATTGAAGAACTGATTGAACTGATTGAAAGCCAATACTACAGAAGGTAGGATGTTCTTGAACTGATTGAAGCCAATACACAGAAGGTAGGATGTTCTTGAACTGATTGAAGCCAATACTACAGAAGGTAGGATGTTCTTGAACTGATTGAAGCCAATACTACAGAAGGTAGGATGTTCTTGAACTGATTGAAGCCAATACTACAGAAGGTAGGATGTTCTTGAACTGATTGAAGCCAATACTACAGAAGGTAGGATGTTCTTGAACTGATTGAAGCCAATACTACAGAAGGTAGGATGTTCTTGAACTGATTGAAGCCAATAATACAGAAGGTAGGATGTTCTTGAACTGATTGAAGCCAATACTACAGAAGGTAGGATGTTCTTGAACTGATTGAAGCCAATACGACAGAAGGTAGGCTGTTCTTGAACTGATTGAAGCCAATACTACAGAAGGTAGGATGTTCTTGAACTGATTGAAGCCAATACTACAGAAGGTAGGATGTTCTTGAACTCTTGTCTACAGGTCACAGAAGGTAACTTGAACTGATTGAAGCCAATACTACAGAAGGTAGGAACTGTTCTTCATGAATGACGCTCTGATTGAAGCCAATACTACAGAAGGTAGGATGTTCTTGAACTGATTGAAGCCAATACTACAGAAGGTAGGACGTTCTTGAACTGATTGAAGCCAATACTACAGAAGGTAGGACGTTCTTGAACTGATTGAAGCCAATACTACAGAAGGTAGGATGTTCTTGAACTGATTGAAGCCAATACTACAGAAGGTAGGACGTTCTTGAACTGATTGAAGCCAATACTACAGAAGGTAGGCTGTTCTTGAACTGATTGAAGCCAATACTACAGAAGGTAGGATGTTCTTGAACTGATTGAAGCCAATACTACAGAAGGTAGGACATTCTTGAACTGATTGAAGCCAATACGACAGAAGGTAGGCTGTTCTTGAACTGATTGAAGCCAATACTACAGAAGGTAGGACATTCTTGAACTGATTGAAGCCAATACAGAAGGTAGGCTGTTCTTGAACTGATTGAAGCCAATACTACAGAAGGTAGGATGTTCTTTGAACTGATTGAAGCCAATACTACAGAAGGTAGGATGTTCTTGAACTGATTGAAGCCAATACTACAGAAGGTAGGACGTTCTTGAACTGATTGAAGCCAATACTACAGAAGGTAGGACGTTCTTGAACTGATTGAAGCCAATACTACAGAAGGTAGGACATTCTTGAACTGATTGAAGCCAATACGACAGAAGGTAGGCTGTTCTTGAACTGATTGAAGCCAATACTACAGAAGGTAGGATGTTCTTGAACTGATTGAAGCCAATACTACAGAAGGTAGGATGTTCTTGAACTGATTGAAGCCAATACTACAGTAGGTAGGATGTTCTTGAACTGATTGAAGCCAATACTACAGAAGGTAGGATGTTGTTGAACTGATTGAAGCCAATACTACAGAAGGTAGGACGTTCTCTAAGGAGTGAACAATTTAACACCCACTGCCTCTGTTGATTGAACTAAAGGAAATTCATCAGCTGATTCTCTTGAGACATTCATTATCTCAATGACTCAAAGCATTGTTTGACTGAACGACCTGTATGTAACAAATCTGCATTACCCATTCCAGTTGGTGAGAAAAGATCCAAAGCTGTCTCAGAATGATGACACATTATCAACAAAGTCACTGAGTGTAATTCATTTGGTCACATCTTCTGACATTTGCCAATTGGGACCAACAATCCAGGCCATCAGGGTACTCCAGTAGGGTATGAATCAGGTCACTGAGGCTGGCCCTGATCTATTAACTTGCCTCTTACTACCAGGCTGCCGGGATCCAACTCAGAATCTTGACAGGGCAACAGTGATGGTCATTACAGATGAGGATATGTACTCATCTGGTTTTACAAGTTCTTATGATGAGGTATAAGACACCTTCCAAACTTTTACCATTTCTATGGTAACCACTGTGAATTATAGTGTGGACCATGAGACAAATAGTCTGTAATGCTGGAACCTTTATCCAGACATTTTCCAAGGTTATTCTGGTTGTTTCAGTGGGCACTTTCTGCATGTTCCCATTCTGAGTTGTACACTACACTCCAGTATTTTATCCAATTGAATAATTCACTTGCCTCTGCATGTGTTTGTGATGTGTGCCTACTAAACGCAGGATATGCTTACCTTTACATAAACATCTGATACTATCATGTGATATTAATAGATAAAAACAAGCTTGTGATGTAGTCAGAATCTTACAATGAACATTGCTTTCTGTGGAGATGTCTAATGCATGTGGAATGAATTGTTTCGATTTTAACCCCCCAAAAATAGTAAACAATTACAAATTTAAATGTTCCATAATGCTAATGGAAGCTCCATACAATGTATTTTTCAAATACAACCTGCACAGGTCAACTCTCAATAACACTCTGTAATACAGAGAATGCCATTTACTGATGACACATCCCAAGACGGTTTACAAGTAAGGGTAATTTCCATACTAAACCATTTGGAATCCATTACCTCCAAGAGGCCCAGTGTGATGCTGTCACACTCTGTCCCCTGTTTATATCAGTTGCAGCAGCCATAAGGGATTTTAATATTCATAGGATTCAGAGTTTTTTGAGAATGCAACGTGGATATTGTTTCTCTGACCTAGCTGACATCAAGTCTGTGAAAATCATGACAATAATACAAGTTTTTCTTTTATGTTTCAGCTTCAACAATCTTTTCAGCAACAAATGGAAATGGGATTCTGCCAGGATTTGGAGTGACTAGTATACAATGTGAAGTGAGGCTTTAACAGGAAGTGCTTGGTGTTCTGAAGTTTGACACTGTGTTTCATATCAATGTTTGTACTTATTGAAAACCATGCTTGTGAGGATGACCACTTTTTTCTAACAAGACAGGATGTGACTGAATACGGTGTATAGTTTACTCATAATATCACCTGTTCAATAACAAAACACCATTATTGAAGCATCTTTCATATCGTCCGACGCAGAGGGGATAATGGTTGCAATCAACTGGTCATTTGCATGGTTGTCTTGTAGCACTTTGAACTGGATAATCTACTCCTGACTCTTCCGATCAATTTTGAAATGCACTCATAGTTAGTACTTTACTCACAGTGTAGTATCTGGCAGGAGCTAATTAAGTAATCTACATTTATACAACTCTGACAGAACCTTGTGTCATGAATACTCAAGCAAGGATCTTAACCAAAACTGACATGAGGCTCTTGCTTTGTGGATCACTGTTCTTCATCTGACTGTGACAGGACTCACGACAAGGAACACTGAACATTCATTCCCTGAATCCCCACGATGGATAAGGCAAACACGACAGACACCAACGATGAAGTGCGCATGATCCAATGTGTCTGTTCCTTCACAATCTCCATCCTAGGAATGATGGGTAATTGTGTGGCCATCTACCAGATAGTGTCCCGCGGGCTCTATCAGCAGACGTGCAATGTTTACATCCTCAACCTCAGCATCAATAACCTCTTGACATGCGTCATCATACTGCCAGTCCTCGGTGCCAACAGCTTCTACGACAGCTGGGTCATGGGCAGCTTCTTCTGCAGCTTCTTCCCCTACATCATGCACAGCCTCAGCTGCATCGAGACGAGCGCCCTCATCCTCATCACTGTCAACCGTTACGTGTTGGTTGTCCATCCCGTGACGTACCGGATATATTACTCGAGTCGCCGCTTCAACGCCATGTTGTTGTCATTTCCTGTGATGTTCTACCTGTTGCTGCAACTCCTTCCCTTTACCGGAACATGGGGCCACTTTACCTACCACAAGAACAAGCTGTACTGCACCTTCAGCCAAACCGACCGCGACACTCGGACCTACATCGTGTTCTTGTGCAGCCTCATTCTCATCACAACCATCCCTGTCCTCGCTTACTGCTATTTCAGAATTCTATGGACATACATCAAATCAAAGAAACGTTTGAACAACTCGGGAGGAATCCACAAATCAGAAAATGGCCATTGTTCAAAATGGCTGACATCCAAGCAGGACATTCAGCTGATTCGCACTGTTGTCATAATCATGGTCTGCTATAGCGTCACCCATATACCCTTCCTCGTTGTCAACGTTGTAGATTCTGATTTCAAACAGATTGGCGTTGTGGCATACACGTTCCTGACATACCTAGCTCTGTCGCACACAGCCATCAATCCTGTGGTGTACGCTCTGCTCAACACACAGATCAACAGCAACATGCACTGCTGTCAAACTTTCTGCAAGAAGCGCAACGAAACATCGCTACATTTACGCCAAACCACTGTATCACCCTGCTAGTGAGTTTAGTTTTACATCGCTTTTAGCACTTTTCCAGCAATATCACAGCGGGGGACACCACAAATGGGCTTCACACGTTGTACACATGTGTGGAATTGAACCTGTGTCTTCGGGCTGATGAGCAGCGCTTTTACCACTAGGCTACCCCACCGCACCCTCTGCTAGTGAATTTCAGCCATTTTAATAGGTCATTGTGATAGAGGCTGCTTCACTGGAACAGAAACTGACATTATCTTTATATTTACAAGAATTAATGTATATCTTAACATTATCTTCATTGACATTGCCATTGTGTTATGACTAAAGACTTCAGCATGTGGCTACTGTTGAACACGCAGCTATTCACAACTATTTGTAGGCAGGCTCCATTCCCAGCTCTTTAACTTTTAGGAGTACACAAGGCAAACTGCCTGTTAGGCAGAATTTCTGTGATTGTGCATTCAGAGGGCAAGATCAACATTGAGTGAGTTGGTTTTGGCATTGCTGAAACACCATTTTGTTATAATGCATTTTGTCAGCTTAATTCTGGGTTCAGGTCCAATCTGATGCTGATTGTGGACGTTTACACTTTTGCGGTAACCAAGGTAACCAGGTAGTGCTGATGGACCAAAGATGAGATTTCGATGAACATGTGACAACTGCAAGGGGACACAACTCTTTAGGAATTGGGCTCAGATTTGAGGCTGATAAAAATCAAAGAGACTAGTCGAAGAGTGGATCCAGAAACAGGACAGGGAAGACTGGGCTCCTGTCTATTGATATTGACTGATTCCTTGGACATGTGCTTCTGAGTAGTGATATCTAAGTTGACACGATAAGACACACTGTCATAATCGTATGAGCGATATGTGTATTTTACTTTGAACAAATTTAATTATCAATCTTTGAGACAACAAAGTGTTGCTGTTGCTCAAAATAGAATTCTGAGTAATTGGCATACCCATGATACTGATCTCTGAAATAACAGCAAAGTTTGAGTGAGTGAGTGAGTGAGTGGAGTGGAGTGGAGTGGAGTGGAGTGGAGTGGAGTGGAGTGGAGTGGAGTGGAGTGGAGGGTGGAGTGGAGTGGAGTGGAGGTGGAGTGAGAGGAGTGAGTGAGTGAGTGAGTGAGTGAGTGAGTGAGTGAGTGAGTGAGTGAGTGAGTGAGTGAGTGAGTGAGTGAGTGAGTGAGTGAGTGAGTGAGTGAGTGAGTGAGTGGAGTGAGTGAGTGAGCGATTATGAGCATACTGCTTTAAACATCATTTCACAGTGTAAGATTCATATTGGAAGCTCACAATCAAGGCAAATGTGGAATTAAAATCCCCTACAAGCAAATCCTGCTATAACGAAGGGATACAACTCTACTACACCATACAAAATTCAGGCAGCTCTGTAGATGCATGATATCATTCTTGTGATGTAACTTTGCACTTTGCTTACAAATAAATTTGCCAAAATGTAAAGGTTTGTAATGTTTTGGAATAATGTTTAATTTAGAACTGTTAATCAGCCTTCTCATTTATATGATGTTGTCTGCAAACATATTTTAATGACATTATGCATTAACTCTGCTAGTGAATTCTTTTATCTCTTAATTCAGGCACCAAGGGTTGACAGTACGCGAAACAATCCAAGCCAACCCAAGAATATTTATGACTTCAGCCAGTGGACACCCTGCAACATACTGACTCATGCAGTGGATGAATGAGTGAGTGAGTTTAGTTACGCCACACTCAGCAATATTCCATTATTGTGGCAGTCTGTAAATAATCAAACCTGGACCAGACAATCCAGTGATTAACCTGATGAGCATTGATCTACATGATTGGGATATGATGACATTTGTCAACCAAGTCAGTGAGCCTGACCGGGTCCGGTGGATGTTCTTACAACAACATTTAATGCTGTGGACTTGTTCTCCCCTTAAATTAGGACGACAATTGATTTCAGCCCCTATGAATACATGCCAGTTCAGTCCCCTAAGACTACAAGCATTGTGCACAGGAGTAAACATAATACTCGTCACTGGTATTTCAAGGCTATGTTTCTGAAGTAGTTCTCAATGCTTCAATCTTTCTACAAACTGTAACTGAATAAAACTGACAAAAATGTAAAGTGAAACTGCAAACACTGCAAACATGTTAGTCTTGTTCAGTCAGGATGAGTGTAATATAGAGAATTTCCACTTGCTTCCTGTAATAATCTTTTATTAACGAAGTTAAAGATTTGGTATCAAGCGAGCAAAAGCGAGTTTGATGCTAAATCTTTGAAAAGTTTAATAAAAATGGTATTTCACGAAATGCTATATTCTGTTTATTATTCTCCAACATAAATTGATAGAAACTGCCTTAGCTGAGTGTGATGACTCTCAGCTTCCACAAGTCAAACAAAATACAATTGTGACAGAGGTATTAGAGATTCTATTTCATAATTGTAAACCATTATGGCTTTCATATGTCTAAGCATATTATTACACTAGTGTAATATTGCCGTAAAACTATCACACTGCAGTATCTTCCACTGCGAGTAATAAAATTACCACTTGCCTCCTGTTTTAATCTGGAAAAAACTGAATTCATAAGGTTGGTATTTATGGATGATGCCCAGGGTGCTGTTCCACAAAACGATCGTCTCTACTGTTGCAATGCTACTTTCACTTTGTGGAACACAGCTGTGTAGTGCTGACAGTGCTGGACTTGAGTCAGTGAATGAGTGTGAGTTGGTTTAATGCATGTAACAGTATTCCCATTACACCACAGACCATCAGCTAAACACGGAAGGAAAGCCTGAAGTGATGCCTTTCAGCAACACTAACTGCTTTGGTGAAACCCCAAAACACAGGTATGGAGCTGACACACCTAAAAACAATATCAACTTGAAGTGGGAATGGAAACCACGTTCAAACATTCCTGTTGATTTATGTCAATTTCTGCAACTCAGCAATGAAAACTGTGACCATCACGACTGGGCCGTCTGTGGCCAAGCTATGACCTTGACCTTGACCTTGACCATGAACTGAGAGGAACACTCACCTGGAGACTCCAGCCCTTCAGGGAAGAAGTAGTCCGTGTACTCCAGATGAAGAACAGACATGTCCGCCGGCAGATGGAGAAGCTTCTTGTCTGATGCAAAGAATTTCGGATGTCCGGTTCTCTTGTTGTCAGGTGTTGAAACCATGTAGATGGTGAAATCCTCCAGCTTGACAACAACACAACTCTCCAACAGACGGGTACTCTTCTTTGGACGATGGCTGGGGGACACTTGAGGTGACCTTGACCCCGCAACCTGGGGTGACCTTGACCCAGGGGCTGTAGGGCTGGGCATGGGTTTGGCTGGGGAGGAGAGGGGGGGGGTGCGGAGACGAGGATACATGTTGAGGGGAAGGGAAGGGGTGCTGGGGGGAGGGTTTCTGGGAATGGGTAGGGGACTGAATGTTGAAGGCTTTCCGAGCCTGCATCACCTCATCCCGGAAGGAACTAAACAGCTGCTGTACCCACGGGTTCCGAGAACCAATGTTGTCCATGTAGCGATGCCAGTGCTTTCTTTCACCACCTGGAACAAACAACAAACCAAATGTTTCAAAACCATGAAACGAACAAAAGCAACTAAAAACTTACAAGGTGAACTTAATGTTACTGTCTGGAAAATTATGTAATTTAATGGAATTGTCAGTTTGGCTTAATTGTTTAAACATGAATTGACAACTTATCTTGAACAAATACTGGAACATGTCTTCAAGGTTGATCCTAAATGTCTCATTTACAGCATAAATCAGAAACTTGTAAATTGAAAACAAAACATAGTTAGAAAAATATCAATGTTACCCTGAACACTGATTTGTTTTGACAAAAGTAGAAATAAGGGTCATTCTGTGTTGCATATTAATATCCATGTTCAAGTTGTCAGTCATTCATCTAGGTTTGTTTGCTAGTTACTGCCACACTCAGCAATATTAAAAACAATTGCATCTGGACCAGATAATCCAGTGACTGTAAGAGCGTGAGGCATTCCTATTGGTCAGAGAGACAGCTATGTTTCTCTCAGGTGTACTGGTGACCATCATCGGTGGAGGTCTGAACACTATAATCAGTGCCTTATGTCAAACTTAAAAAGTACCGAAATCTAGGACATTGAACATATAGTTGACCTTGACCTATCACTGTCACTTCTTGCAATGTTTACACATTATACAACATGTCACAGGACCTTTTCGGAAAAAAATTCACTGAAAAGAAAAGATATCATTTCAAAGATACAAAAAGATGGTAAAAAGGGATATGTTTACATAGCATGCTTCTGTTTGACCAGAATCTGTGACGTAATCCAGACAAAAGTATAGGAACGTGTGGTTATGGTGCCATGCAGTGCTAGTTGCATCCACAACCTTCAGCTGATCGTAGAAGAGTGGCAAGAGTGAAAAGAGTCGAGTTTAGAAACATAGAAACCAATAAAGGTAGTTTATGTGAATATTTTGGTGCACATTTTTCTGAAACTTGTGTGTTCAGTTCCAAAGCAATAAAGATATCAACCTAAAAAAATGTTTCATCTTGATCTTTTATTTCTTGTACATTATACAATACCATAGTTACATCAAGCTGGTCTGATCAACATATTATGAGATTTGGAGTACATAAACCAGATACTGATGGACGAGAATCAAACCCAGTCACTTGAGGTAAAAGCTATTGAAACTTGAGCTGGGTTTCCATTCAATTTCACACCCTTTTTTACCAACCGATACCCAATTGTACCATATCTAAATCATGTGGTTATGACAACCTATTGGGATGCTGTTGGGAGTGCACTGAGAAAATTGTCTGCATGGCTGAATGGTATATATATATATATACTACTCAAAAGAAGATAAGGTCCAACGGATTCTTTCAGATCACAACCAGAAGCCAAGGGAGTCCCCATCATCTAAGATGTGAGAATTCCCTGTGCAGAGCTGGGCCTCCACAACCGGAAGCATGGGGTCCCCATCATCTAAGATGTGCAGAATTCCCTGTGCAGAGTGGGCTTCCACAACCGGAAGCAAGGGAGTCCCCATCATCTAAGATGTGAGAATTCCCTGTGCAGAGTGGGCTTCCACAACCGGAAGCAAGGGAGTCCCCATCATCTAAGATGACAGAATTCCCTGTGCAGAAGCAAGGGGGCTTCCCTGTGCAGAGTGGGCTTCCACAACCGGAAGCAAGGGAGTCCCCATCATCTAAGATGTGAGAATTCCCTGTGCAGAGTGGGCTTCCACAACCGGAAGCAAGGGAGTCCCCATCATCTAAGATGTGAGAATTCCCTGTGCAGAGTGGGCTTCCACAACCGGAAGCAAGGGAGTCCCCATCATCTAAGATGTGAGAATTCCCTGTGCAGAGCTGGCCTCCACAACCGGAAGCAACGGAGTCCCCATCATCTAAGATAGCAGTGCTCCCTGTGCAGAGTGGGCTTCCACAACCGGAAGCAAGGGAGTCCCCATCATCTAAGATGTGAGAATTCCCCATCCTGTGCAGAGTGGGCTTCCACAACCGAAGCAAGGGAGTCCCCATCATCTAAGATGTGAGAATTCCCTGTGCAGAGTGGGGAAGCAAGGGAGTCCCCATCATCTAAGATGTGAGAATTCCTGTGCAGAGTGGGCTTCCACAACCGGAAGCAAGGGAGTCCCCATCATCTAAGATGACAGAATTCCCTGTGCAGAGTGGGCTTCCACAACCGGAAGCAAGGGAGTCCCCATCATCTAAGATGTGAGAATTCCCTGTGCAGAGTGGGCTTCCACAACCGGAAGCAAGGGAGTCCCCATCATCTAAGATGTGAGAATTCCCTGTGCAGAGCTGGGCCTCCCACAACCGAACCGAAGCAAGGGAGTCCCCATCATCTAAGATAGCAGAATTCCTGTGCAGAGTGGGCTTCCATTAAATCGAAGCAAGGGAGTCCCCATCATCTAAGATGTGAGAATTCCCTGTGCAGAGTGGGCTTCCACAACCGGAAGCAAGGGAGTCCCCATCATCTAAGATGTGAGAATTCCCTGTGCAGAGTGGGCTTCCACAACCGGAAGCAAGGGAGTCCCCATCATCTAAGATGACAGAATTCCCTGTGCAGAGTGGGCTTCGACAGATAGAACCAGTCACACAGGCAGATAGAACCAGTCACACAGGCAGATAGAACCAGTCACACAGGCAGATAGAACCAGTCAGTCACACAGGCAGATAGAACCAGTCAGTCACACTGGCAGATAGAACCAGTCACACAGACATCAGGATTCAGTCACACTGGCAGATAGAACCAGTCACACAGACATCAGGATTCAACCATGAAGGCATCAGGATTCAGTCACACTGGCAGATAGAACCAGTCACACAGACATCAGGATTCAGTCACACTGGCAGATAGAACCAGTCACACAGACATCAGGATTCAGTCACACTGGCAGATAGAACCAGTCACACAGACATCAGGATTCAGTCACACAGGCAGATAGAACCAGTCACACAGACATCAGGATTCAACCATGAAGGCATCAGGATTCAACCATGAAGGCATCAGAATTCATCCATGAAGGCATCAGGTTTCAGTCACACTGGCAGATAGAACCAGTCACACAGACATCAGGATTCAGTCACACTGGCAGATAGAACCAGTCACACAGACATCAGGATTCAGTCACACTGGCAGATAGAACCAGTCACACAGACATCAGGATTCAGTCACACTGGCAGATAGAACCAGTCACACAGACATCAGGATTCAACCATGAAGGCATCAGGATTCAGTCACACTGGCAGATAGAACCAGTCACACAGACATCAGGATTCAGTCACACTGGCAGATAGAACCAGTCACACAGACATCAGGATTCAGTCACACTGGCAGATAGAACCAGTCACACAGACACCAGGATTCAGTCACACTGGCACCAGCACCCTACCAAAGAGGAGCCAGTAACTAATGTACCAGGAATGAATCATACTGCACCCACTTTGTGCATGAAGCAAGGTGAACCGTTAGTGCAGGAATCATGAAGCTGACACCACAAGATCAGCTCCCAACAATGGTCAAGGCAAACCAAAATGAGGTGACTCATAAAAACATGGTGTGCAGATGTGTGAATGTGCAACATATAGTACCACAGTGTAAGAAACCTTTTAGCACTATTCCAGCAATATCATGGCAGGGGACACCAGAAATGGGCTTCACACATTGTGCCCATGTGGGGATCCAACCTGGGCCTTCGGCATGACAAGCAAACGCTTTAACCACTAGGCTACCCCACCGCCCCCAATTTCAGCTGAAGGACATATTTGACATATTGGGAAAAATATTAATATGAAATTGAAACAAATCCCTGTATTATTGTGAGAGAATGTTAATCATAAAGCATGGATGTATGGAGAAATATTGCAATTTGACAAAGCAATAACATCTGTGTAATTGCTCAACTTTTTAAATGCACTCAAGCTTTACAGAGACAATGCTGATGAAATTTGGTGACAGCTGTAATGAACTATTATGAAAACATGTATCGAGGTGGCAACTGCATGAGATTTTTAGTGGAAAATACAACAGACGAGCAGCTTGGTTAAATATGTAAGGGCTTCTTGTCCATGGAGCACATAGGTGGATTACAAGGTCATATCACACAGCAATATGACACAGTTGGATCACACAGACATGTCACAAAGTCCAATCGTATAACCCAGCTGTAGACATCACATAATACACTCGCAGAAGTCATATCACAAAACTGTAGAAGTCATATCACATAGTTGCAGAAGTCACATAATACACTCACAGAAGTCGTATCACACCTCTGTTGAAGCCATATCACATAGTTGCAGAGGTCACATAATACACCTATAGAAGTCATATCACATAGTTGCAGAGGTCACATAATACACCTATAGAAGTCGTATCATAAAACTGTAGAAGTCATATCACATAGTTGCAGAAGTCACATTATACACCTATAGAAGTCGAATCACAAAACTGTCGTATCACACATCTGTAGAAGTCATATCACATAGTTGCACGTCACATAATACACCCAAAGAAGTCGTATCAAATCTCTGTAGAAGTCATATCACATAGTTGCAGAAGTCACATTATACACCCATAGAAGTCGTATCATAAAACTGTAGAAGTCATATCACATAGTTGCAGAAGTCACATTATACACCCATAGAAGTCGTATCATAAAACTGTAGAAGTCATATCACATAGTTGCAGAAGTCACATTATACACCTATAGAAGTCGTATCATAAAACTGTAGAAGTCATGTCACATAATTGCAGAAGTCACATAATACACCTATAGAAGTCGTATCATAAAACTGTAGAAGTCATATCACATAGTTGCAGAAGTCACATAATACACCTATAGAAGTCGTATCCTAAAACTGTAGAAGTCATATCACATAGTTGCAGAAGTCACATTATACACCTATAGAAGTCGTATCATAAAACTGTAGAAGTCATATCACATAGTTGCAGAAGTCACATAATACACCCATAGAAGTCATATCACAAAACTGTAGAAGTCATATCACATAGTTGCAGAAGTCACATAATACACCCATAGAAGTCGTATCACAAAACTGTAGAAGTCATAACACATAGTTGCAGAAGTCACATAATACACTCACAGAAGTCATATCACAAATCTGTAGAAGTCATATCACATAGTTGCAGAAGTCACATAATACACCTATAGAAGTCGTATCACAAAACTGTAGAAGTCATATCACATAGTTGCAGAAGTCACATTATACACCTATAGAAGTCGTATCACACATCTGTAGAAGTCATATCACATAGTTGCAGAAGTCACATAATACACTCATAGAAGTCGATCATAAATCTGTAGAAGTCATATCACATAGTTGCAGAAGTCACATAATACACCTATAGAAGTCGTATCACAAAACTGTAGAAGTCATATCACATAGTTGCAGAAGTCACATTATACACCTATAGAAGTCGTATCACACCTCTGTAGAAGTCATATCACATAGTTGCAGAAGTCACATTATACACCCATAGAAGTCGTATCACAAAACTGTAGAAGTCATATCACATAGTTGCAGAAGTCACATAATACACCTATAGAAGTCGTATCACAAAACTGTAGAAGTCATATCACATAGTTGCAGAAGTCACATAATACACCTATAGAAGTCATATCACACATCTGTAGAAGTCATATCACATAGTTGCAGAAGTCACATAATACACCCAAAGAAGTCACATTATACACCTATAGAAGTCGTATCACATAGTTGCAGAAGTCACATAATACACTCATAGAAGTCGTATCACACAACTGTTATAGTGAACATTATGGTTTGGCAATGAGAAAAACATTCACTGATTCCTGACTTCACCAAGTAACAGGCTCATGTGATTCCTCTGCCAATCCTACTCCCCTAACCAAAGTGTTCACATTTGTTTGCCATCATGTCGACGTCATTATTGTATGGAGACAAGCCAAATGTGTTTTCCATGTAGAGATTTCCAGTGTCATTTTGACATGTGGTAATTCTTCAAATGCATAACTTCACTCTAATGTGTTTGTGTTCAAATATACTTAATAAGTATAGAATCTATTTTTCAAACCTGTACAATGAAATGATTTCTTGAAATGGTTCCAGGAAATGTTTGACTTTGAGAAAAGCTGAAAATTCAGAATAATGTTTCCGATAAGAAACATTCAATCTCAATGAATATTTTTAAAGTAAAGCCAACATGCAAAATCTACATTCTTGGCATGAATAAAGCCTTTAAATAAAAAATATTTCAAAGTTATTAAAGCTAATTATAGAAAACAACAGGTCAAAAAAATGTGAAAAAAACTTCATAAAAGCTTACATTCGTCATCATTGGGATTCACTGAATGGGTGAGAATAATGCATGGAGTCATACACCAACATTTTAATAACATCCATGAGTATAAACACTTCATTCATGATATGACTGACTTAAACAATGTCTGAAATGGGATTTAAACAATGTTTTCTGCAAAGTCAACAACCCTGGAGAGTGGTCGACGGTATGAGCATGAGTTAGACATGATGAAAAGTGTCATGCATATTCCGGGGAAACTCCAGAGAGTTAACTTTTCACAGCCTCGAATCAACATGCAATTGTGACACCATGACTGTCATAAGATATAATATTCCTTAAAGCAGATGATCATCTAAGAGGTGAGGTGAGGTGAAATTGGGTTTACCGTCGTACTTGAGAATATTTCGCTCATATGACGACGCATGCATGCGTGTGTATGTGTATGTGCGGCTGCTTGTACTAGCCCAGATTGAAGCTGGTTTTATAGTGCTAGCCCACTGAGATACCATGCCACAGTGAAGCATGAATACCCCACTCAGACACCTTATACTGACTCCGAGCCGACCAGTCCTTGTTGTACCCATTAATGCCCAGCGCCAGGCAGGGACCAACAAGTACCATATTTTAACGTCTTTTGGTATGACGCAGTCGGGGATCGAACCTGCAAACTTCCGCTGTCCGGGCGGACGCTCTAACCACTACACCATGGAGGCAGTTGATCATCTAAGAACAGCATAGTAGTGATGCTTATGAAGAATTGAGATGTTTTTTGCACCATAAGTCAAATTTCACTTCATTTGTGATGACCTCTATAGATACAATATTTTTGGATACAATGTCCCTTGGGAAAACAGATGCATACATATATCATTTTATGAAAATTACATATTTTTTATGATAATATTGGATGACTATTTGACAAGGAAATGACGTGAGACATCAACACTACTTCTTTATGTTAGTCGATTGTGCCTACCTGCTGGATGGAAGGGGTAGACGTCTACCGACAGTTTGTACATCGTGACCTGCATTGAACCACCCTCAGTCTTCCACGTCTTCTCGCTGTCCGATCCTGAAACACACGGCATGGAGAAACCTCAGGGAACACTGTAACACTGTCAGATAAAAATAGTTCTGTTTTACGGTTTCCTTCAGTTTAGTTTGGATGACAGTACCAGTAAATATCAGACAATTAGCCCGGTCACTGCAACCACTCTGTCATTGCAGCCACCTGGTCTTTCATTAATTGGTTCAAAGTTTCAGCAAAGTAAATCTTTCTATAAATCAGGTTATATATCGATTTCTCACTCAACAATTCCAGTAAATGGAAAATTACAGGTAACATTTCAGCGAAAAGACCTGTGATGATCCGGGTTAGACTTGTTAGATGTCATATCGGTATTGGGTGGTCAGGCTCGCTGACTTGTTAGATGTCATATCGGGATTGGGTGGTCAGGCTTGATGACTTGTTAGATGTCATATCGGGATCGGGTGGTCAGGCTCGCTGACTTGGTTGACAAATGTCATCATATTGCAATTGCACAGACCGATGCTCATGATGTCAATCACTGGATTGTCTGGTCCATTCTCGATTATTTACAAACCACTGTAGTTTGCATATTGCTGTATGAGGTGTTAAACAACAAACAAATTGAAAATGAAAAATACTAAATTATATCGAAATGAAGACAGGTAAAACACAGAAATAATTTAGTGAGTGAGTGAGTGCGTTTAGTTTTACGCCGCTTTTAGCAATATTCCAGCAATATCACGTCGGGGGACACCAGAAATGGGCTTCACACATTCTACCCATGTGGGAAATCGAACCCAGGCCTTCGGCGTGACGAGCGAACAGAAATATTTTAACAGCTTGTGTTCCTACATGATGCATAACTGCCAAATGAATTCCCTTGCAAATGACAATGTCTTGGAATAAAGCGTTAATGTGAAAAAGATTGGCTGACTGTTTCAACATCAGGTGCAATGAACAAAAAGCATGAGATTGTATTGCCGTATTGTTCATATATGGTGAAATATACACGCTTTGTTATCGTGCTTCATGTTGAAAGTTGTTTGTCTGATTTCTATTATTGGCAGTACTTAAATGGAAGGTAAACACATATTTGTTCCTTTGTGAATTTTAGGCCATTTTTCAATTTTTATAAACCAATATATATAGAAAATTTAATTTTAGAGTAAAATTGATATTTTATACTTATCCTGACTCATGCTCTTTTGCTTGTCTTCTTCTTCTTGCGAACATAGTGGAACACTTGTATCTCCTTATTTGAAGCTCCCTTCAAAATAAAATCACTAATTGGTACTCACCACGAAGTTGCTCCCCTTTGTCTCCCTGGGTGGAAAAGGTGTCGCCACCCTCTGGCCATGTGCTCCACTCTCTCCTGATTTAGCGAGCCCAACACTTGAATTTACAGGGAAATCCAAAGTGTTATGTGGGAGGATGGGAGGGCTAACCTCATGAGTCAGGATAAGTATAAAATATCAATTTTACTCTAAAATTACATATATTTTCCTTATCCTGACTCATGCTCTTTGCTTGTAGCATCCCTACGGAACGGAGGTGGGTAACAGAATACTTTGGATTTATAATTAGTGATTTTGTATAGATATACTGTAATATCCCCTCACGGAACTTCATGAAGTCTTAGATTTAGGAAGTATCCTGTATAAAGAAAACCATAGGTTATATAAAGCCATTAAAGGGGAATTACATTATGAATATATTGAACAATACATATAAATTATATATATATATATATAGGTGACTCTGATAGAGGAGGCACTGAAATTGACTATATCCAAGTATATGCTTAAGGTAGAATACTTAAGCTGAACATATATACATAGCTCTAAAACTCCTTAGAGTTATAAGCTAGATGAGTATGTATAAAAATACATATTAATCTTGTGAGGCTAATATTTTAAGCTGCCTCTGAGGGACTGTCAGTTGCTGAGCGAGGACCAGTGGTCCGGAATGGTGGAATGCCAGAGACATCTTCTGTAGTGATGTCTCTTAGGTAGTGATTAGCAAATACCATGTTAGATTTCCAATAGCATCCTTCCATAATCGTCCAGTGTTCAAGGAACAGTTATTACCGTAGGAAGAGGGTAGAGGCCAGTGCCCTGATCTCATGTGGATTTGATGCTGTTGGTGGGTCCAAGCCTGCTGCCTGTAGGCACGGAGAATGACAGTCCTTATCCAAATAGATATTGTGGTCCGTGACACTTCTGTTTGATTCAGTAGGCTATATAATGGGATGAATAAACGTTTGAGAAATCTTCTCCTTGTTTTGGATCGTCAGTAAATAAACTTTGAGGGGCTCTTACCGGACACAGTGATAGGTCTTGTGTATCTTGTGATCCGAGAATGAAGGGATGGCGGGATGTGGAATAATCTGTCTGGTTGACCTGGCAGTTGATTCTTTGCAATGAAATCCCATCTTAATCCGAGGTGTAGCTGTGTTATGATTGTCATCAAACTGTATCCTCTCAGAATCCAGAGCGTGAATTTCAGACATTCTTGCTGCTGTGGCTAGCGATAGCAGAAACAATGTTTTCTGTGAGAGAAATTCAAAGTTTGTCGATTCCAAGGGTTCATAGACCTCACTGTGAGGTGTTGTAACACTACATTCAGATCCCAAGCTGGGCGTGGAACTTCCGCTTTTGGTCCTCAATCGGAAAGCCTCGTAGTAAAGCCAGTAACTCTGGAGATCTTGTCAATTTGACACCCGCTCATGGTGATTACAGAGCTAAGCGCGGCAAGATATGTTGATATCGTTGAACCTTTTAAATGTTTGTTTTGGCGTAGGTAACACAAATAGTCTGCCACTTGAGGTTGTGAACCTCTCTTGCTGTAAACCCTTTCTTTGTTGCATAATTTTTCGAAACTGTGCCACTTGTCGCCGTACAATTCTGAGTTGAGTAGCGAAGATAAAACAGCGTGACTGCTTATGCAGCCCTGGCAGAATATCCTCTCTTGTTTAAACACATTTTGTATACAGTCCATGCGTGTAGTTGGAACATTGCTGGGTTTCCGTGCACTTGTTTGGTGTGAGGATGAATTAACAGGTTTGGCGGCTTGGGTAGCTCCAAGTGTTGGTTGACCGATTTCTTGAATTAGTATGGGAAACCAACGTTCTGGCCCGACCAGTAGGGGCGACCAAAGTGAGTTGTAGGCTCTGTGTTTGTCTGATTTTCTGTAATACTTGAGGTATTATTGCTGGCGGCGGAAAGCGCGATACGCATTGAGGCCTTCCCATGATAGACTTAGAATCCCGCTGCCCAAGCTTGGGGGTCTGGGACTGGTGACACGAATGTCGGTAGCTGATTGTTGAATCTGGCTGTGGCGAATAGGTCTATTAGCTCCTCCTAATTGCTTGATTATCTGTGCAAAAATTTCCCGGTTGATCATCCACTCTGTCGGTGATGGTAGATGAGGCCGAGAGAGCCGCCTGCTAGTATATTTCTGGCTCCGGGAATGTGCACTGCTTTGACATGTAGATTTTAGATCTTGTATTAAATCGAACAGTTGAAAGCTTAGAGTTCAAAAGGTTCATCGATCTCGTTTGAGCCTTGCTTGTTTATGTAGAAGCGCCACTGTCGAATTGTCTGTATGGATCATTAGGCGCATTTTGTAGAAATGTGCTCCAATGTAGAATGGCGTTGATTACAGCTTTCATTTCTAGACTGTTTATATAGGTTTGCATTCTTGCTGATTCCATAACCCTGATATCGTGTGGTTGGTGAGATAGGCTCCCACAACCTTGGAGTAACTTAGCGATCTACATACAGATGGGTTTTGTATTCCTGCTCTGCTAAACAAATCCCTTACGCAGATATTCGATTTCTTGGTCCACCATAGTAGATGTGGTCTGAGATGTTTCGTAGACTGAATGGTTGTACATCGTTGAGATGTGCGTTGATGAGACCTGTAGGGGACGTAACTGTAATCTGCCTGTGACAGCTCATGTCTTGGGCTGATGTGAAGACCTAGTAGGCTCTGCCATTGTCGAAAGGGTAGCGAGAGAGAGTAGAGCTGGTGGAATGGTCTGTTGTATCTTGAGCCAACGGTCTTCTGGTACCATATCACGGTTCGCGATTTGTGATGAATCGAATACCTAGGAACTGTAGGTCTTGCGATGGTACTAGGTCCGACTTATGTAAGTTTACTAACCAACCTAGTTGTGTTAGTAGCTTTATGATGTAATTTAACTGTAGTTTGAGGCGCAGTGGATCTTGATCTACTTGTATCCCCGTCGTCGAGGTAAAAGCGCACTGCGTAGCCCTTGACGATGTAGAAATTTGATAATCGGTTTCGTTATCCTCGTGAATAGCCAGGGGCTGATGATATTCGAATGGGAGTACTTTCCACTGGTAATGTAGCCCTTCTAGAGTAAATCGTAGGTATTTCCTGGAATCGGGATGAATGGGGATGTGCAAGTAGGCATCCTGTAGATCTATGCTGCCCATGTAGTCCATAGGGCCGAATCATCTGCGTAACTGAGGTAAATGTATCATCGCGAAACCCCGATTGGTTTTGCGTAGATAGTTCTTGTTGAAAAAGCTCATGTTGTAGATGAGTCTGTATTTCTCCGTGGAGTTTTTCTTGGGAACTAGGAAAACTGGGGAGTAGAAACCTGGTTCGGCGTTTGCTTGATCTATTGCTTCTATGGCCTGTTTGGATAGGAGTGATGGAGGCAGCCTCTTTTATCTTTGGTAGTTGTTGCTTTGTAAATCGAACTTGGGGGTTTGATTGTCAGCGGAGCTTGTCCTGTAGAGGGATACAATCCGTGTTGAATAATGTTGGAGGCGTAAGGATCTTGCAGTATTCCCCAGTTTCCCAGTGTAGTTGGAGGCGTCCACCCCTTGAGCTGGTTGTGCCTGGAACGGCTGGGGTGGAAGACTCAGTGGCGTTCGAACCTGTGTTTCAGCGTCTATAATGCGGGAACCTCTGGGTGTCCTGCCTCTTCCTGATCCTCCTCTATAGTTGCCATATAGGCGTGAAAGAATCTTTACCTCTAGAGCTGGCTATCTTCCTGTCTCTTGCTCTTTGTAGGCCCGTGAACTTAGATCTGCCTGAGTATCTTTGTGAAGTCTGACGAATGGCGCTGGCTAGTGTGTCCATCGATCTAATCATATAAGGACTTCCCTGGAATCCTTAGAGACTTCCTTGGCGACCTTGTCGATTTCTCCGTCAAAGATGGATGTTGTCGACGACCGGGCTGTATAAAAAGTGGGGCTGTAAAGTTCTCCCCAATTACAGGAGGCGAGGAGGCCTTTGACGACGAGCTAAGGTCAATGCTGCTGAAACAGATGTAAGATGATCCGTTAAAACTGCTGATCTTTCTTTTGCATAAGTAAAGGCAGAATAAATCATTCTATCATCTTCCGTCGTGGAATCCCGGAATCTAGTAATAAGAGTCTCATTGATCGTCCCTAGATCTATTTAACCCAAAGAACATAAAATCTCGTCATGGTTTCTATATGAGCCAACTTGCGATCATCCATCTTGTAAATCTTGTTCTTTACATGGCTGATGATCTTATAGTTCTCATCGATGTCCTGGGCCTTATAGAAGGAGTCCATGTTATCGTGGAGAACTTCTTGGCTTGAAAGTTGGGTAGATGTGGTATCTGAACTTTCGTAGCTTTCTGGAAAGCTGCATCTAGATTCTGTGGCACTGCATGTCGATTCGATCGGGGGTAGAGTGATTGCATCTGGATCATCTTCCTTCATCAAATCGTCTGAGGCTGTATTGCCACTTTTAGATGGTGATGTGAGATCTAGGTTATTGACCATCCAATACCGTATCTCTGCATCAGAAAATATGATTCCTCCATCATCCTCAAAACCATCATCATTAATAAATTGTAGATGCTCTTAGCGGGACTGCGTGTAGCTATCTGAATATCTGATGAGGTTTGTGGCGATCTATATTGACTTGTGCGCGCTCTATGTGGAGATCTGATGGGTGATCGACCTGGTGATGAGCGGAGTGGAGATCGCGTCTATGGGATGATCTTCGGAGACTTGTGAGGTGAATGTTGATAAGCCAGCGGCTCTCCGGCAGATCCCTCGATGTTCTTCTAGAGCGATGAAGATCTGGAATCATGTCTCTTCGCGAATATGCCTTAGCGAAGCTTCATTTAAATCGTCCGTCCGGGGATCGATGATATGACCTTAGCGAAGGCTTCCGTGATGTCTGATGGTCTGAGTCCATATCTAGAGATGAAATCGAAGATGGTGATGATCTCTCCGCCTTAGCGAAGGCCTTAGGAAGGCTGTACATCTAGGTCCGCCGTCAAGGTGGTGCGGGACTTCAGCTTCGGCGAAGGTGACATCGTCTTAGCTGCTCGTTAATGGGGGTGCCTCTGGGGTGCTGTCTCGTTGGAGCTTCAGCGAAAACTCGGACCCTGCTTAGCGCAGTTGTAGTGGTCCTCCATGATGTTCATAATCTGCCGCATCATGTCTTCTGGGATGATCTGTGGCCGAAGTCGTCGGCGTCTTTTCTGCGATGGGGTTCACATCAATGGCGTCTGGCGTCGGTGTAGAGAGCATCAGGCTGCATGGAGATCTCTGCAGAAGTCACAGTCGCTGACACGGTCGCTTCTTCTGCCGTAAGTCGGGGATGATTATCGGCTGATCATCGTAGAGGCCCAACTCTGCTGCTGGAGCGATCTCGGCTGAGAAAGTTCTTGCTGTCTTCGTAGATTTCCCTTTGGAAGTCGCTGCCCTGGAGTGTCCTCAATCTGCGTTGAGGAGGCGGCGATGAGGAGCCCTCTTAGACTTAGTCTGCAATGGCGGGATGTCTGGGGAGGCGGTCGTTTCTTGAGAGTAGCGGACTCGTCCACGTTCCTCTGCGCAGGGGTCTCTAGCAGAGAACACCAGGCGGGAGAGGTCGATCGCTAGCAGCTGACTGGAAGGAATATCTGGACTCTCTGCCATGTTTTGCCCTTGTTTGCGTGATCTATCTGCAGCTTGCGTCTTAAAGGCCTTAAAGATGATATTTATTAAATGCAGAATGAGATAAATTAATGCAGTAACTGCAAGCGTGAATTAAAGCTGCAGATTAGAACAACTAGGGCATATTACATGTGGATCGGAGGCAGAAAAGCGTAATCTACAAATCGTACAGATTTTCATGAGCGTAAAGCTAGCTGAACAATCGAATACCGTGAATAAACGGTAGAAATACGATAATTAATCAATACAAATGGTAAAGGATACTAGCTATACCTCTATAGTAACCTATGAGGAGGTAAAAACTAAGAGATTATCAAAGGATATGTGTGTAAGGAGACACAAGGCTCTCACATCCTGCTCACTGAAGAAGGGAGAGTGAAGCACATGGCCAGAGGGTGCGACACCTTTTCCCGCCAGGGGACAAAGGGGAGCAACTTCGTGGTGAGTACCAATTAGTGATTTTATTTTGAAGGGCTTCAAATAAGGAGATACAAGTGTTCCACTATGTTATGCAAGAAGAAGACAAACAAAAGAGCATGAGTCAGGATAAGTAGAAAATTAACAGTTGCAGACACAATGCCTGATAACTTCCATGCTGTTTAAAAATAATTAGTCCCTTTTTCTAAAATGCATCCAAGTAAGTATTGTGTCCACTCACCTGTATCTACTGGTCTATCATCACAGAGATGCAGGTCTATACGGCTTGTGATCAAATGGTACGATGTCGAAGCAACATCGTATTTGGCAAAAGCTGATCCCCTGGTTTGGAGTGTGGGCTGCTGCTGCTGTTGCTGTTGTCGAAACTGCTCAGACTGAGTTCGGCTGTGTCCCTGTTTCTGTGTCAGAGACAAAACATGTCATGTGTGAGTCATAACACCTGCCGTAATTCTGGGTAAAATAGGTTTCCAAGTTCCTCACGCTTATAACAACAGAACTGAATCTCTAGCTAACTTAGTTGCTTGCATATCACTGATGGATTGATGTTCATGATTTCAGTCACTGGATTGTCTAGTCCATGCTTGATTATTTACATATCCGTGAAGGTCCAGGTTCGAATGAACCTTCAGTAACCCATACTTATCGTAAGAAGCGAATAACGGGATCGGGTGGTCAGGCTTGCTGGCTTGGTTGACACATGTCATCGGTTCCCCATTGCGCATATCGCTGCTCATGCTATTGATCACTGGATTGTCTGGTCCAGACTTGATTATTTACAGACTGCACCATATAGCTGGAATATTGTTGAGTGTGGCGTAAAATTAGGCTCACTCACTCACTCCTTGATTACTTACAGCAGATTGCTTGAATAATGCTCAGTGTTATGTGAAACAACAACCACCACTGCTGCCAGCAATCCACCAAGAAACCGAGACTGACCACACAATGTCCATGTCAGTCGTTTGTTGTTTGTTGTTTGTTTATTGCTTAACACAACACTCAGCAACATTCCAGCACTATGGCGGTCGGTAAATAATCAAGTCTGGACCAGACAATCCAGTGATTGACATCATGCGCATAAATCAATGCAAACAAGATACGATGACATCAATGTGTCAACCAAGTCAGCAAGCCTGACCACCCGATCCTGTGCAAACAAGATACGATGACATCGATGTGTCAACCAAGTCAGCAAGCCTGACCACCCGATCCTGTGCAAACAAGATACAAGTCAGCAAGTCAGCAAGCCTGACCACCCGATCCTGTGCAAACAAGATACGATGACATCGATGTGTCAACCAAGTCAGCAAGCCTGACCACCCGATCCCGTTAGTCGCCTCTTTCGACAAGTATTGGTTGCTGAAGACTAATTCTAACCCGATCTTCTCGGGTAAGTCAGTTTTCACAACAAACATGAGGTACTGGAACCTATTCTGACCCAAAAATGTAGTTTACCAATATATACATGACACTCTAATCTCCAGTAATACTTTGCATATTTACCTGTAACTTTTCAGCAGCCAATTTCTTGCTCTGTTGAGCTGATCTCTCGATGACCTCTTTCAGGGAATTGGAATACAAGATGGCGGCCTTCAGCTGCGTCGCCGTCAACACCCACAGGATGTCATCCAGCAGCAGCATCACCCGCGTTGATATGATGCTACAATCTGGGGAAAAGATGGCAGCATTGACCAAACTACAACTGTCACTGTTCAGTTGGTACTAGTCTGTCTCACAGTCCCTGAACCACATTATTTTCCCTACAGCCTAGCCTTCCCTGTAGTGTTAAAGCCCTAAACGAAGCAAGTCTAGATTTCCCCAGGTTCTGAATCTCTGGTCTCCCTAGGGCTCCTTTTCAATTTAAATGGGCTTGTTTGTTACTATCAAAATTATATGTATTCAGAGACTAAGCCTTAGTCTAAGTTGGTACCTAAACCCTTCTTCTACATACCAGTCTGGCTGCTATGACCATGGCTGACAGCTGACTATGAAAGTTAAAATAAGCACAGTTCAAACTGCTTCATGTTTGAGGCCCATTTAATAAAATCCAATATACCGAAAAAAATACACTTTCTTAATCCTTTGGGTACCGATGTGATTCCCTTACTCTTCCCAGTCCTGTGGGTACCATGTTTATTTTGGTGCTTCAGTAATGTGTCTCACTTGCACTCAGATTGACAAGTTGCAATATTGCTGAGTGTGGCATAAAACTAAACTCACTCACTAACACTCACTCACGACAAGGTGCAAGAGGATTTTTAAATAATGAAATATCTCTTGATCAATTATTTCTACTGCCAATGAAATATGAGTAAGTGAGTTTAGTTTTACTCCTCTTTTGGCAATATTTTAGCAATATCACGGTGGGGGACACCAGAAATGGGCTTCACACATTGTACCCATGAGGGGAATCAAACCCAGGTTTTCAGCATGACAGGTGAACGCTTTAACCATTAGGCTAACATGAAGAAGCTAACTTTTATAGAGTACCAATAAGGATAAAAATGAAAAGGTCATTGATATTTCTTACTTTGGTCAAACCACGAAGCACATGTATGGTGAGTCATTCCAAGGAACACAATCTGAGTGAATCTTGACTACAAACCCACTATCAGTGCATCCTGACAGCCAAAGACTTCAACTCTACATCCACACTTAAACCTGACAAGAGAAATTCTATTTTCAGACTGTACCACTTAGTTTCTTCTTCATGGTGATCCTGATCTTCGCCTGGTTGGCAAGGAGACGTAGCGGTGTGGAGGCAACGTCCTGTGGTGTTTCAGCCTCCTTTGCGTTGGCCTCGACCTTCATGTTCTGCCACTCGATTTCCTTGAAGAGCAGAATCTCCCCACCCTCAGCATCCCGGATACGTGTCTGGCGCAGGTCTGATGACGGCTGCCAGTTGGGAGTGGTGCTTTGAACCCGAAGTCTCAGGAGCTGAAATCAAAGAAATGAAATCATTTATAACACAGCTCTATTTCCTTTCTTTATGTTTATTTGTTTGTTATTTGTTTAATGCTGCACTCAGCAATATTCCAGCTATATGATGGAGGTCTGTAAATAATTGAGTCTGGACCAGACAATCCAGTGATTGACATCATGACATCAGTCGACACAATTGGGATACAATGACATGTGTCAACGAAGTCAGCGAGACTGTCCACCTGATCCCGTTAGTCGCCTCTTACAATTAGCATGTGTTGCTGAAGATCAATTCTAAACCGGATCTTCATAGGTACCTTATTTATGGATTTACCTTAATTTTACACTCAAAATATATATAAAATATTCATGCAGAAAATTAAGAGACAGAATGTCCCTCAAACAATGTCTTCTAAGAATGGCAAGACAGAATCGCAATAAACAGTGTCATCTGAGAATGGTGAGATAAATTTCTGTAAAACAGAACAGAATTCTCTAAAACAGTGTCATCAGAGAACGGGGGGCGGTGGGGTTGCCTAGTGGTTAGAGCGTTGGCTCGTCACGCCGAAGACCCGGGTTCGAATCCCCACATGGGTACAATGTGTGAAGTCCATTTCTGGTGTCCCCCGCCGTGATGTTACTGGAATATTGCTAAAATCGGCGTAAAACCATACTCAGTCAGTCAGTCAGTCAGTCAGTCAGTCAGTCAGAGAACGGTGATAGAATGTCACCAAAAGCCGTGAATAGATTATAATGGATAAAAACAGTATGTCCCTGATACATTGTCTTTTGAGAATGTACATCTCAGATTGTAGAGTCTCCAGACTAATAACCATAGCTGATGGATGTTGTTGACCTTTCTTAAGACAGAATAAAATCCATCCAGTATGACAATTGATAAGCAAAATCTAACCTCCTGAGATTTCCTGAATCTTGCAAAGGCAAAATTATGGGGATATTTGCAAGCTTATTGTAAAAACTGAAAGAACTGGAGCAATTTTATTTTCCCAAGTTATAAAGTTCAAGTTACGGATGAACACAGTAATGCTGCTTCCTGAACTAATCCCCAGCATAGATCCAGACTATTGATTCCTCTGAATCCTTCCCACTTCAGCCCATATCTACATAGAGGTCCCTTGTACCCATACAGAGCCACAGTCAGTGTCAATATCCTCCTCTACACAGCCATACAAAACTACCGTATAAGAGCTTATTTTTTCCACTGACTTCCAGACCCGGCGCTTATAATAGGCCTGGCGCTTTTTTCGCTTACTGGGTGTAATTACCATATTTGTTATTTAGCTGCTTTAACCCCTGTGCTCATAAGGTGCCTGGCGCTTAATAGAGACCCGGCACTAAATTAGAGGAAATACGGTACATCTGTTTCATGTTCCCATTGGGCTTTACATGATGAAAACAGCACATTCAGATTTTGTATCTACTGACTTTGGTTCATAGCAAACATCTGATAATTCACAATAATTTACAGAAAAGACTTCCTCATGTGAGTCACTGTCTCTATCAGGTGATGAGAGCCAACAAACCTGTTGATAATAAACTTATAATGATAAACAAATCATAGCAAAACTATCCTTTAAGTCTAAAACTTTTTGATCATACAAAATGAAATATACTGATACACAAATTATAACAAAACTTTCCATTTGAATGGAAAACTTTAATTCTACAAGTGAAATATATGTTTTATTTGTTTTAATGCCATTCGTAACCAAAATTCCACTATGATTCATGTCCTTTGGGCTGACAAAAGTCAGAAAAACTTGTGGTTACTGCAAGGTCATTCATTTGCAACAGAAGTAGCCTCCAGTGAGGTTGGAACTGGAATGAAACTCAGACACACTTGAGGCCAAAAAATAAATTAATATGAAACGTCTGTGATCTGAGACTAGATGAGCTGCTGATGACAAGGACTACCGCTCAAGGCAGTGAGGTTGGATTTCCCAAAGGCAGTGAGGTTGGTTTTGACAACAATTATGAATAAAAAGTGGAGTTACGTGCCTACTAAACACAATTATTGTATCATGATGATTTCATTTTTGGTGGGCATCTAAAAATATTTAAAGAGCATTCTCCCCAGGGAGTTGAGAATATGACGTTGAGATATACATCCAATGATCGAGGGAAAATACCAGTGCCTTGAGAATGCACCAGTTGGCGCGTGGATATGTGCGCTATATAAATATACTATAATAATAATAATAAAGAAAATAATAACATGAAACTCGATTATTTACAGACCGCTGCCATATAGCTGGAATACTGCTGAGTGTGGCGTAAAACTCAATTCATTCACTCACTCTTCTGTGTTGATAACATGAAATGACATACCAACATTCATATGGCAATGAACAACAGATGGCTCAGTGGTCAACCTAGGAGGTCAACTTAGTGGGTGATCTGCCTCCTCAAACAAGGTGTGATGGAAATAGAGTGCATATATTTTTCTTCAAAAGTGTCACTGCTGAAGAACACCAGACAGTCCTGTGAAGATGTCTCTTATTGGTAGAATAGGTCTTGTCCAACAAAGGAACCCATGCTTGCCACAGAAAGGCATAAAAACTATGCTTGTCGTGTAGTTCTTTGGGTTTTTGGCAAAATCTTTAAAGGATGTAAGAGCTTGTAGTGCTTATGAAAATAACGGGATCGGGTGGTCAGGCTCGCTGACTTGGTTGACACATCATCGGTTCCCAATTGCGCAGATCGATGCTCATGCTGTTGATCACTGGATTGTCTGGTCCAGACTCGATTATTTACAGACCGCTGCCATATAGCTGGAATATTGCTGAGTGTGGCGTAAAACTAAACTCACTCACTCACTCACACTCACACCACCTGTTTGATTCCGGATTCAAACACGTGTTTGATAACCTACTGTAAGCTATAACACATTCATCCATTACAGCCTTGTATGTAACACAGTGACCATATCACTGGAAACTATGGAAGTGTGATGGTAAGCACACACCTCTGTCACACATACCATCTGTTTGATTACTGATTCAACAAAGCTGTTTTTATGAATCCATGCTAATGGATGGTGGAACACCCTCATTTCGCACATCATGGTGTATGAAACAGTGACCAAGTTCACAGAAATTAAGGCAGTGTGATGGTAAACCTTATGGTCAAATGCACCATTGGTTTCATTCCAACTTTGTGCACAATTGCAGCTATCATGAATATATACATTCTGACACTTTCTGGCCTGGAAACTTATACATGTTGCACAAGCATGAAAAACAACATTATGTACATAATCATCATATACACATCATCTGACATGGCAGATTTTATGAAATGATGCACAGTTTGGTTCTAGATTGTCAGTTTATCAACAGCAGCCAATAATATACTGGGCTTCCTGCCTTGCCTACAGTGGCATCAGCTTGATACTTAGACAAGAGAATCATTAATGAATATAAAGATTTGGGCAAGGTTTTGAGTTTTCAGCAATATACAAGCATCAGATTGACAAAGGATGCCAGATATGGGCACCACACATTTAACTCTTGTGGGGAATGACCCCAGGTCCTTAGGCATGATGAACAAATGATCAAACCACAATGCTACCCAACCTTGCTTGGCTACTTTAAACTGTTCCTGTCAAACTGTTTCCTGTATGATATCAGTAGTTAAGGAAAAAGAATAGTTTCTCCTGACTTCAACCTCATAAATTCATGCTCAGTTATTAGTTTTGATACTTCGCCGACAACAGATCTTGGGTTTTGATATAGGATTTATCAAAGGTCAATGCAGTGAGCACTGTTGAGGAGCTGTAAACATCAGACATCTTGCCTACGACAACCTTGGTGTTCGGATATACGAGGCAAATTTTTACATTTTTTGCTGTTTTGTTACCAAAATTGACCGTTCGGATACGGATATCAAACATTCGGATATACGAGGTAAATTGTAACTAGAAAATTTCGTTTTTTGTGAAGAATGTTCGGAAACCGAGGTATTCGGATATCTGAAGTTCGGATAAACGAGGTCTGACTGTATTGCCCTTTCTTCAATAAAAGGACAAATTAGTTAAGACAACACCAAAAGAATCTGACACATTATAAAGATATCATTTATGCTGTTTACTTTAGTTTTCAGCAATATTCCAGCAACATAATGGCACAGGAGGCCAGATGTGGGCGTCACACATTAAACTCATGGGGATTCAAACCAGGTCCTTAGGCATAATGAACAAACACTTTAACCACTCGGCTACCCCACCAAGCTGGATTCATTCTGTTATCAGCCGTCGGGAAACAGGAGTACTGTCCCCTGATTTCTTGTTCATGTATTCATGGTCAGGTATTAGCATTGATCACATAATAAAAGGCATGAAATCAATTCTGCAGAGAGGGCTGGGAATTAATGTTCTTCATACAGCATTTAATCCTATTTGTCGCAAATACTCACCAGAGAGTTGCTTTCATTTGTGTACATTTGCTAAATAACTACAAGGTAAAGTAGTTCTATCGTAGTTCCTCTCATCACTAAGTCTTGGGTAGAAAGCCCATTACTGGCAACACTATTACAGAGTCCGGAAATGGTGTTCAATCTTCCTTAGATGCCCTGTCAGCCTGAAAGGTGTAATATGGCTGAGTAGACGTGAAGGGCTCTCAGACCCTAAAGGAAGTGATGTGGAAGTGATGAGGAAGTGCTTGTAGTTAAACTTATTTGTTGTTTAACATTACACTCAGAAACTCAGAACTTTTCCATATGTTTGGAGGCTGAGGGTGAGTGAGTGAGTGAGTTTACTTTTACGTCTTTTTTAGCAATATTCCACCAATATCACAGCAGGGGACACCAGAAATGGGTTTCACACATTGTATCCATGTGGGGAATGGCACCTGGGACTTTGGCATGAAGAGCAAAACTTTAACCACTAGGCTACCCCATTGCCCTGGATGGTGGGCGAGTGAGTTAAGTTTTATGCCGCTTTTTGCAATATTCCAGCAATATCACGATGGGGGACACCAGAAATGGGCTTCTCAACT